ATATATATTATTATTAATAAATTATTAAATATATATATATATATTTTATTATTTATAAATTATTATATATAATTTATTATTAATAAATTATTCCATTTGTACAAAACATTTTAGTTAAAAGTGTTCAACACTCAAAGGGTTAATTTACAAAAGAACAATGGTGATGATCGTTGGAATTATTTGACGAATATCATCAAAAACCTAATCGTTAGGTACAATGAGAAAAAATATTCAATAAAGTTTTGATTTTGTATTAAAAAAAAAAAAAAAATCGTAAAATTACGAGGAACAAACCATTCCCATCCCCCATCCCCCATCTCCTATCTTCCACCCCCCGTTTAAGACTCAGAATTAAATTTTGTTTATTATATTTATTTGAGATTGAACAGAATGATTGCATCGATTGTTCATTTGGGACTAAACTAACACGTTTAGAATTTAGTTTTATTTCTTTCTAGAATTTATCTATGGGGGAGGGTGGAGGAAAGTGTCGAGGGGAAGGGGAGGGGGCCGCACACGTGGGCATTTCCGGTTGCATCGCACGAGGACGAGCGATTAGAGATAAAACCGGAGACACGCGCGTGAATTTGTAATAGTATTTGTAATTAGTATTAATGGTAATAGAGTTAGTAGTAGTAGTAATAGTAGTAGTAGTAGTAGTGGTAGTAGTAGTTCATATCTGGTTTGCAGTAATATTTGTCATCATTAATAACAACCAAACGTATATTTGTGTGATCTTTCTTTGTGGCTGTATGTATATGTGTTATCGATAAAAAATATTTTCCTAGTTTTTGACAAAAATATCTTTTTTTTTTTCTTTCCAATAAAAAAAAAATTTATATATATATATATATATATATATACACAATGATCGCGTTGTATTAAATTTTGTCCATGACTATGATAATATAATTCGCGTTAATAACATTTACTTTATATTAAAAAAAAAAAAAAAAAAATAATAAATGAAATAATAAAAAATTGTCATATATTTAATTATGGTATAGGAACGATAAAATAAAATAATAATAATAAAGAAAAACAATCAAAAAGAATTGTTGCATATTAAATTTTACTTGAAGAATAATAATATAATAAAAAAAAAAAATAAAAAATAAAAAATAAAATAATAAAAGAATTACTGTATATTAAATTTTGCTATGAGAACAATAATATAATAAAAAAAAATAAAAATAATAAAAATTGTCGTATTATTGTAAATTTTGCCATGACGACAATAATAAAATAAAAAAAAATAAAAATAAAAATAAATAAAATAACAAATAATAATCAAATTTGTATAAATAGTCGTATTAAATTTTGTCCATAAGAATAATAATATAATTAAAAAAAAATAATAATAAATAAAATAATAAAAGAATTGTTGTATATTAAATTTTGCTATAAGAATAATAATAATGCAATAAAAAATAATAAATAAATTAATAACAAATTTAACAATAATAACCAACAATACAATTGTATGGTTTAATTTCTAACACGAGAGAGGAATACACACTTGGAATTATCGAAAAAAAAAAAAAGGTACAAAAATAAAACCTTTAATGCTTATCACGTACACACACTTGTAAAACACATACACGGCCTAACACACATATATACATTTACATGATTGATTATGTAGATAATACGATAAGAGAAAGAAAAAGAGAAAGTTACGTGTACAAAATAAAAAAAATAAAAAATAAAAAAAAATAAAAATAAGCAAAAATCTTACGATAAAAGAAGAAGGAGGAAATCTTATGGAAGGGATTTATTTTTGGAAAAGCTGGAGGAGAGTTTTGAGAAAATACGTGCGTGTTGTGTGTGTGTGTGTGTGTGTGTTAGAGAAAATGTTTATAAAAAAAAAATAAAAATAAAAAAAAAAAGAACAATTGACGAAGAGAATGAGAATCCGCGCTTTTTCCCGTTTGTCGACGTTGCCCGCCACCGCCTGCGCGCACTGCAGTAAAACTCTTGCACGCGCGCACGTGCACACACAAATAAGCATAAGCACGCATTTACGAACGAACGAACGAACGAACGAACGAGCGAATGAACGAACGAACGAACGAACGGAACGGAACCAACCAACCAACGAACCGAACCAACCAACGAATGAACTAACACACATATATGTTACATATGACACACATATAGAATTGAGTAGTTGAGAGAGAGAGAACTATATTACACGTCGACACATTGAAAAATGAGTAAGAGAGAGAGAGAGAAAGAGAGAGAGAGAGAGAGAGAACAATTTATATTACTCCTAGGTATTACTTAATAATATCCCATAACCGGGAGGGTAAATGATGAGGTTGAAGGGAAGGGAAGGAGTGCCCAGTGGGCAAGAAGGGTGTCACCAATCAAGAATAATTCTATTTTCATTGAGTTAAAATGCAAAATCATATGTAAAACAATAACAACAAATTAAATAAAATTATATGCAATGATAAAAGAAAAAAATAAATATTTCGTAATTAAAATAAAACTAATTAAATACAATTGTTTGTGCAYATACTAAAAATAAAAATTTTTGAAATAGAATTACAAAAAAAAAACAATGAAATACAATTATATGCAATGATAAAAAAAAAATAAATAAATAAATATTTTGAAATAAAAATAAAACAAATTAAATAGAATTATTTGTTTGCATATAATAAAAATAGAAACTTTAAAGTAAAATTAAAAACAAAAAAAAAACAAATTAAATACAATTATTTCTGCATATAATGGAGAAATAAAAATTTTAATATATAAAATAAAATAAAAAATTAAATAAAATTAATATATTATAATAGAAATAAAAATTGTAATGTAAAATAAAATAAAATTATTTGTGCATAAAATTAATATAAAATAAAATTTTAAAATAAAATTAAAAAAAAAAAAGTGAAATAAAATCATTTGCATATAATAGAAATAAAAATTTTAAAATAAAATACAATAAAAAAATATGAAATAAAATTATTTCTGCATAGAATAGAAATAAAAATTTTAAAATAAAATAAAATACAAAATACAAATAAGAATTATTTGTTCATATAATAAAAATTGAACGATCAGATGAATGACCTGTGGTGTGTGATGTGTGTGATTGATCATTCTGAACACGCGTAACGAAAATATAATATAAGAGATCGAGAGAACGAAATAATTTTGTTCTTTTTTTTTTCTTCATTATCATCATGGATCTATCCATGATCGTAAGTTCAATTATAATCTTTTTAAGAAACCTACCCATAAACTCTCCTTTCCGAGTTAAGCTTCGTCTTACTTTCCCCGAAATGAGTCACCACGAAGTGCCAAGAGAAGAGAAATTGAAACGGGACGAGTTTCGAGGATCGATTTCTCGTCTCTCTTTCTCTCTCTCTTTTTCATTGGAGAGTGTCTCTTGCTTCTATATATATACATATATATATATACATATATATATTTATATCACAGTAGTTGGAGTCGCTTTTAGTTGTAGGTAGTAACAGTAGTTAGAATAATAAAGGCTGCTTTTTCTCTTATCGTCGAATGCACTGGTCGTTGTTGCACACCCTGTATTTTCCTTCTTATTATTATTATTATTATAATAATAATAATGATAATTATTATTATTATTATCGTAAAATATTATCGTATACGCGAATAAAACACAAATAGAATCTTTGGGGTACACATCACATCAGATATGATCCATTATTCACAATTTGTCATCTTGTTCTTCTTCTTTTATAATCCTGTTCATACATAAAACTTTACGATTAACAATAAAATATCATAATCGTTTGATTCACTTTCACTTTTAAATAAATCACAATGAATGAAAAAAAAAATAAAAAAGGGGAGTATAGAAAATAAATTGATCCCTTAATTCCCGGTTATTCCCTTTTTCACACTGAACACGAGACGATGAGACGACTACGATGACGACGACGAGTTGAAGTCGAGTTGAGTCGAGTCGTGGAATTCTTGGGGGTTGCTTGAGGGTGGTAAGTAAAAGAGGAGGGAGAAATGGGATAGGAAAGAGGGCCAGTGGGTGCAGAAGGGTGCAGTTGAGGAGAGAGAGAGAGTAGGGAGAAGAAAGAGACGAATGGGGGGGGGTTGTTGAAGGGGGTGTTATAGACGGACGTGGAGACAGAGAATGAGGGAATGAAAGAGAATGAAAAGAGAGTGAGTGAGTGAGAGAAATATTCTACAGACAGAGAGAATAAAGGTGTCACTAGGAAGTCCCGAGAAACGTCGATACTACGTCCTAAGAAGAGCACCACACACACATACACATACACACAAAACACCTACACACAAACTATGTTTGATAAAAAGACCGGTTAGTTGTGTGTATGCGTTTCTTTATGGGTTGTTGTGTAGTAGGTTGGGTGCTTGTTTAAATGTGTACGTGTGTCTCAGTACTTTTCTTTTTTGATAAGACGAATCACAGCGATTTTCACGAAAAATCCTCAATTGTGAAAAGGAAACTAACTCTGACCCAACTTGTTCCAGGGCGTCGACTGATGTTCTCATGCACTTGCTAGCCTAGCCTAGCCTAGCTAGCTAGCTTGCTAACTTGCTTGCTTCCTTGCTTGTTAGTTTGCTAACTTGCTAGTTTGCTTACTTACGCACGCACTTATTATACGCGAACCGAAAGGGGAACGGGGATTGCAACCCCGTCTTCTCCACTTCCGCGATTATTCGAACACGAGGCGACACCGAATAAGAAAACTTTTCTATTCGTCGAATCGTTCGCGCCACGAATCGCGTACCGCAATTTTTTGCCCATCGGTGGTGTTCGTTGGTCTCGTCTAGTCTTCTTCGTTTTCTCACATCAACAATGCACGAGGAAAAACACTAATATTGTTGTTGTTGTTGTTATTAATGTGTTTCTTCTTCTTCTTCTTCTTCTTCTTCTTCTATTTTTTGGTATATTTCTCTAGGTCGTAGATGTTTATTCAAATTCTCACACTCGCGCACTTTGTTATTATTTATTATTATATTTTACGTTTCTTTTAAACACATGTTATTTAATTTGTACCTTTTGTAAATTTGAAGAGAATTTTAACAAAAAAAAAAAAAAAGAAAAAAAAAGAAAGAAAACAAGATAAAACTATCGATAGATTAAGTAAACATAGAAAATCTCTAACAAACACGACGTTATATTTAAATTCTTAATAATAACCGAATAATATTGTATTAGCACCAAGGGAAAGAAAAAGGTTTAAAACTGTGAGGACCGTAATGGGATAGACTTTTTGAAACAACGTTTATAGCGAGTGTAAAAATGACAACAACAGGAGACAAAAATAATTAAAAAAAGAAACCCCCCGGAGAAACGAAAAAAAAAATGAGACAAAACAGAACCACGATGAAATTTTGGTGATGAGAATTTGTTTTTTAGGACGGTGGGGTTGTTGGTTTGTTCCCCTTTTTCGTAGGAACACACACAGAGAGAGAGACACACACAAAACGGATAAATGGGTATATATATATATATATGTTCACACAACACGACGGATGATGGTTCTCTATCTATATATATATATATATATGTATGTATGTTCATAGAGATGATGAACACAACGAGATTATGTTCATAAGAAAACGGCAAGTACGGTTCCTACGACGACCGTGGCTCCGGGTTGACTGGTGCGTGCCGCGCAAGACCGAACCGTAGTCAGCCCCCACCGTTTCTGCACTCTCCTAACTCTCATTCTCTATCCTTCTCTTGCTAACTTGTTTGCTCGTTCGTACATTCGTTCGTTCGTTCGTTCGTTCGTAGGTTCGTACGTTCGGCCCTCACTTACTCACTCACTCAGTTGCTGCTTCTTTCTCAGTATGTGTTTGTATGGTAGTGTCCCTCTCAACTATGAGAGAACGCGCGCGCGCAGAATATACTGAACCAATGAGAACAAGCGAGATAGCATGGATACGCAATATATGTACAGTGAATAAAAGAAGTGAGACAGAGATAGTGGGATAGGTTGGTTCATGTCGGGGAAGAAGAGAAGGGTGGGAGGAACCGAGGGACTTGGAGAGGGAAGGAAAGCACGAGCGCAGTAGCTCGGAGGGCTTCTCCTCTATCATAAAGAGTGGGAGGAAAAGTAGTAGGGGTATGACCAATTCTAGTGGTGGGGGAATGGGTTAACGAAAGGGACCAAAAGAGAACTTTAAAATTGTGAAAGACGAAGAAGACAGAGATAGCATGAGAAGAAGAAAGTGCTAAGTGTGAGTGCTGTGGTAAAGTTTATGGGAGAAGAGTGGGGACAAAGGGATAACTTGGAAACGTCGGGGGTTCAAAAAAAAAATGTCTCGAGAAAAGTTTTCTCTTCCCCCTCACCGTTCGTCGCCTCCCCCTTTTACTATTTTCCTTCGAAGTGAAAGAAGGGTTGTTGTAAACAGGATCACATTGGGGCAGGTCACACCCCCTTACCCTCTCTCTTTCTCTCTCTCTCTCTCTCTCTCGTTCTCTTTTCATTTCATCCTTCAACATCCCCTTTTCTTTTCTACCTTACTTTTTCACTCTTCCTTTTCCTTTTTTCTTTTACTTTAAGGTATGCATTCCCATGTTTTACTTTTATTTGAAGGTCCACATTCCTTTCCTCAAATTTAAAAGGATACTTTAAAGGTTTGTGTTCTCCCTTTTTTTCCGGTTGATTTTACTTCTTATTATTTTGTCGCATCTTCCTACCACGTGGTGTTACTGTTATTCGTATCCTTTGATTAAAAATAGGAACACCATAAGATAGTAAAAGAGAGTATGAATGGGAACCGTTTAAGAAATCATTTTTCATAGAATTTCAAATTCGAAGGACTAACTTGAACGTGTTTTTCATTTTTTGTCGTTGTTAAACGTTAACATTTTCTATGTGTAAATTCTTTGTGATATATATTTCAAGCAGATGTTTTGTTATTTTTGTGTTTCGAATAAGATAGAAGATGAAATATATTCTTTTGAAGAAAGATACAACGAAATGAAATTGATCCATTTTAATCTTATTTAATCTTTTCTTCCGACATTTTTCCCCCTTTGCCCATCTCCACTTTTTGCATCCTTCTCATCCATCCTTCTTCAACCACTGTTCTGTAACAAAGTTTTCTCTGTTTCTGTGTGCAAAACGTGTGTGTTGACTCGAAAACTTTTGCGATGTATTGCATTAGGAACTAACTCAAAATCGTTCTTTTCCACGTATCCTTTTTTATTTTATTTTATTTTATTTTTTTTTTTTGAAGGAAGGAACAAGGACGAACGAGGTAGGAAGTTTTAATGTGAAAGAAAGGTCAGGATAGGAAGAACGAAACCATTCGATATATAGTTTATATGTATATGTATATATAGTTCTGAACAGCAGACAGACAAAAACACGTGGGGGATAAGAATAAAATGAAAGAAAGAAAGAAAGAAAGAAAGGAAGAAAAGGAAGAAAAAGAGAAAGAAACGAGGGAAATCAATAGGATCCAGTTTGGTAGCATACTATTTTCTATTATAACTGTGTAAAGGGGTTTCTACATAAATTCAAAAATAGGATCAAATGAGAACTATGAATAAAAAAAAAAGGTTGAACAAAAACAGAAAAAAGGTATGGAAGAATGTCAGATTTCTTTTCTAAATTAAATCTAAGGGATGATGATAATCAAACACGAGTTATGAAAAATGAAAAAAAGTAGGATTCAAATAATGTTGACACTTATTGAAAAATAAAATAATATAAATAAATCAAGTATTAACGATTTTGTAAATAAGAAACAACCGAACGAGTCAAATAAATAATAATAATCACGAATCTTCGTATAGTATTCGAACGATTAGTTGAATTTTCTAAAATGCGTTGGTTACTTGAACTCTTTCTTAATTAATCATTTAGAAATATAATTTTATTGTAGCTTACACCCCTGTGCGTGTGCGCGTGTGATCTGTAAACAGTGTAAGCTAATTTACAAACTATTTAAAAAGCAAATAAAATAACTAAGACTAAGATTAATACTAAGACTAGGACAAGGACCTTAGCTTTCCCAATTTTTCAACATATATCATAATAACAAAAACAAAAATCAAAACTAAGGACTAAAACTAAGACTAGGACTAGGATCTTAGTTTTCCGAATTTTTTAATTTATATTATAACAACAAAAACAATAACTAAAGACTAAAACTAAGACTAAGACTAAGACTAGGACTAAGAGACTAAGACAAGAACTTCAGTTTTATCAATTTTTCAACATAAACATATACATTGCTTCAGTTATACTTCTTACTCTATCATAATGACCAAAGTAAAAACCAAAACTAAGGACTAAGACTGAGACTAGGACAAGTACTAAGACTAGAATGAAAATTAGGACAAGGAATAGGACTAGGGCTAAGATTAGGACTTGAAATAGGATGATGACGATTATCAGAAACTGGTGTAAAGGAGATCGGCGCACGCACGCACTTGCCACGACGACTATGACGACGATGACGACGACGACGACGACGACGACAACGAGGATCGATCGTTTCCCTACGATCGATCGGCCCCGAGAGATGCCATGCCGGCCGTAGGCGTTGTTGTGTACTTGCCAGAAAGAGTATACTACTATCATCTACACCTAACATAACATATATACATATATACATATATATATATATGTATATACATACAGCAGGGATATCACCGTTAGGGCTCATCAAGGAATCTCGCGGGCCTCTGGCATGGTTCGAATATAAAGAACCTTCTTTTTCTTCTTCTTTTTCGTTTTTTTTTCTCTCTCTCTACCGTTGTTCTTACTTCGCGATCTGAATTAAGACAGGTAACCCACCCTCTATTTTCGTATTTTCCATTCGAAAATCGTTCATACAAATATCTATTTTTATATATACACATATACACACATTTGCACGTGTATAATTTTATTTTTATCTATGGGATAATAATAAACTTAATATACCAAATTTATATATAAACTGTTACCATTTGTTCACTAACATATATATATATATAAATACAATATAATATAAATATAATATAATATAATATAATAGAAATAAAATATAATATAAATATAACATAAATATAATAATAATAAAATAAAATATAAATTAAAAAATAAAATTTATAATACAAATATAAAATAAAAATATAATAATAATAATAATAATAATAATAATAATAATAATAATAATAATAATAATAATAATAATAATAANTAATAATAATAATAATAATAATAATAATAATAATAAAATATAATATAATATAAAAATAATATAATAAAAATAATATAATATAATATTAATATATATATATAAGGAAAACAGTAGTAGATAAATTTGTTACAATAAATATAGAAACATTTTCCTTTGCAAAAACACGGATATGTGTTTAATACAAAAACATGTTAAAAAAAAAAAAAAAAAAAAAAATAAAAAAAAACGGAAAGAGAAGAGAAAAGTCGCGTTTAGTATATCGATCATTTTTTTTTTTCTATTCTATTTTATTGAAAGAAAACTAACGGTACATATTTTACCTGTAAAATCTCGTCCTACGTGTGGGCGGCTAATGTTTCGTATATCAAAATTTCCTTGTAAGTACAAAAAGTTTTTTTTTTCGAACAGATGATCATCATCATCTCGTTTGTTACCATTGAACACAGTTAACAAAAAATATTACAAAACATGTAAATAAAGGAAGGTAAAGCCGGAAAAAGAAAACAGAGATTAAAAAAAAAAAAAAAATAAAAAAGAAAAAAATTGGTAAAAGATATTTAGGGTAGAATTGAAAATATAATAATAATAGAAGAAGGGATAGGGACATCTGTGTATCTCGCGATACATGAACAGCATCCCGCCTCCCCTTTCCTCCCTCCCCCTCTTCCCCTCCTCCCTCCTTTCTACCCAGGACACTCGATATCTCGCACCGTTAGGTCATCCACCCTTAAAAGGAGAAAAACCTCCTCCTTCCTCTCATTGTCCTATCGTATATTATTCGAGACGAGGGATTTCTTACAGGTAGGAAGACGTGTGGGAAGATATGAGATAGAATCGATCAACCCTCTTCCACCCTCCATCACCTCCTCCTCTTCCTTCCTCTTCCTCTTCCTCATCGTCATCCTTCTTTTTCCTCTTCTTCTTCTTCTTCTATTTCTGAACTTCCTTTTATTACCAATAAAAAAAAAAAAAAGAAATAAAAGAATAAGAGAGAAAGTAAAGAAAACCCTTATGGGGGTAGAGGGATGATTTTCAATAAAACTATGATCAAAAAAAAAAAAAAAAACTTCTAAAAGAAGAAAAAGACAAGCAGTTCGGTTTCTTTTACGGTTCGGTATTTTTTTTTTTTTATGTCTGTTATCTTATGTATTTTTATTTTTTTATATTTTTATTATTTTATATGTTATTATATGTTATATAATATAATATATTAAATATATTGTAATTTTTTTTATATGTATTATTTTATATATTATTTTATGTTATATAATATATTATATTTTTATTATATTTATATTATATTTATATTATATTTATATTATATTTATATTATATTTATATTATATTATATTATATTATTATACATTTATATTATATATTATATATTACATTTATATTATATTTATATATTTTATTATTTTATATATTTTTATTATTTTATATATTACAATATATATTTTAATATA